CTTAGACTGTTATATTTTGGACACATCACGAGAAGGCATGAATCATTGGAAAAGATAATAATGTTAGGAAAGGTGGGCGGAAGTAGAAAGAGAGGAAGGGCACATTCTAGATGGATGTATTTTATTAAAGAGGCCATGAATATGAGCTTGCAGGAGCTGGGCAGAGCAGTAGAGGACAGGAGGCCTGGAGATGTCTCATCCATAGGGTTGCTATGAGTTGAGATTGATGCAAAGGCAGTTTTACAACAACAACAGCAAAAACTTTGGGGCATGCAAATAGGATGCAAAGGAAAAATGCAAAGGATGCAAAATTCCAGTAGGCATAACTGTGCTTTCCCTAAAGACTGGATAGGTGAGGAGAGAACTACTGTAAAGGATGCCTGAGTGATGTGTGGGGCAGGCAACTAGGCACAAGCAGGGATTAGAAAACTCACACATCAAAAAAGATGAAAAGGCAAAGCAAAATAAATAAATAAATAAAAATGGCGACTACATTAGCAGTGGTTATAGCCTTTAACTTTAATGTGATAATTTTACCTGATTTTAACCAAACAATGCTGACAAACATACACAAATGTCTGATTAGATTCCTTCAAAACCTGATTTTGCTCAATGAAACTTTCAGGGGAAGCACCAAGGAGCTGCCACCACCACCACCATTTTCCCACCCAGGCATTCAAAAAGATCAGAAGTGGCACCTTGATGGAGAGAGTAGTGAGCTTAATGCTTCTTTTAGGTGTTCCTGGAATGGACTGAGCTCTTGCCTTTCACCACTCTACTCAGAGAAGGGGATGGTTGACATATATATTTATTGATAGTACTTACATTGGCCCATGGATAAAATGACCAAGGTTTTTTCATTCAGGTTTTTGACTAAAATTTCTAGACTTGTATATGCATATATGTAATACTTCTTTGCACACTGTTCCTGGAAAAGTTGTGTCTAAAATACTTTTTTAAAAAATATAGCTCCTAGAATCTTAAAGCCAACATGGCCAGTGACCATGCTGCATGAAGAATTTTTGGAGTTCTAGAAAAAAAAAGGAACTTCTTCAAGCTCTGGTTTACCATAGACCAGCCTTGATAGGAAGTTCCTATGGATCAACAAGTGGGAAGCAGGAAGCACATAGGAAGTTAAAAGGAGATGACTCAAAGAAGATGTTTTCATGTCAAAGATCAAGCTAGTCTTGAAAAATTCCAGGTGTTGGTTTGTACATTTCTGATTGCCAGTTACTGCCTCTGTGTTATTTAACCATTGTGTATGTCAAAAGCAGTTACTGGCTTGAGGGTGAATCTTGATGTCATTAGTCCTCATTAGTACAATGAATTTTTGGAGAAAGTTGGTACTCAAAATCAGGAATGGTTTTAATACTTGTAAATATGATTTCTGAGATCAGTCAAGATTCATATCAGTCACACCTACAATGAGATATTCAACACAAACAAGCAATTAAAAATGTATGGGACATCGCGAGAATATATGAAGATAGCTGAGATGGCAAAAAGAGCTGACTCCATAATTCAAATTCATGTTTAGAGGGTATTAGTGACCAATAAAAATATAATCTGATGCATCCTCCTTCATGCTGAGAGAAGAATCGGTGTGGCTGAGATGCCAATAGAATTCTTTCTGCAACTGGCTTCTGAAGCAGATGCAACAATCCTTCTATGTCAGTCTCCATCTCCAAGTGCAGAAATCGCTGCCAAAAGATTTCAGGCACAGATTCATTTATCACACCCACAAGGTCCAAGCTGTTCTCCCAGGATCATCAACATCAGCCAGCTACTCAGTGAAAGTCAGCTGAAAAACTCAAGGAAAAACATCAGAAGGTATAAAAAAATAATGACTCTCTGAAGCTTTCTTTCCCTCTTGCTTATAGCACTTCAGTGAGTTTTCCAGTGAAAGCTCTGGGTGTGCTGTTCTTGAGTGGAGTCCTTCATGTGAAAGATGACATGACTTATGTTGTAGTCAGTTGCTTTAAAATAACTGGTGAAACCTGCCTGCTTACCTGGTTGTCTATTTGACATGGGACCTTA